AGATTCGCCATGCATGCGGAAATGTTCTGCGTTGAAATTGCTATGTTTTCTCTTGGTACGCTAGCAGCTGTGCGAGATCTCGCGCCGCATCAGTTGTTTCTCTTAGTGTTTTTCATTTGCCGAAGACAGTTGCTCTCAATAAATGCCTTTGGTTTGAAAAAAATAGCGAACATTTCGGCACAAATCATTGCTTTGTTTCTCAAGGATGAGATTCACTGCCGTCCCTTTCATGACCTCTTCTTCAAGTTTCTCGAGCTTTACATAAATTTTCTTTGAATATTTTCGTCCATCAGACCATTTCGTTCTTTAAATTATTTATTCTTCCTTTTCATTCAGTCTTTCCCTTTTCTAATTTCCAGAAGAATGTGGCGATCAACCTTGATCCTTCTCCTCGTTATCGCAGCATGCATGTCCTACCCAGCCTCATCTCCCGGTGGTCTCGATGTGGAAAAGCTTGGAGCAGGTGGCAAGAAATTCTTCATGGACGTTAGTAGTGTCTTGGCTGTGAGCCAACTCCAAACCCCAATTCTATCTCTTATAGATGACGAAACAAGTAATGGGTGTACCGTCGTTGAAACCTGAAAATCTAGCCGCACAAGCATTCTTCCGAAATTTCTTGAACAAGTACACAAATCTGGATGAGAAAGTAAGAATTTCTTGATTTTTGGAAGGCGACAGATATCAAAACATATGCGAATTTAGGTCAAAAGGGACATGGAGCAACATATTCCTACAGCCACGAAGATTTTCAACAATGCAGGTGAGCTTTGACCTTACGACAGTACTGCTAGAAACTAGAATTTTGAGACTACCACGATTTTAACTGTTCTTAGGGTAATATCAGCATAGTCAAATTATATTTGCGTAGTTGAAAAATAATGCATTTCTTTTTGAACGTAAAAAACCATTTTTCGTTCACTTCCCTCAACAGGTGCGAGGCCAGGTTTACTCCTTCATTGATCCAAAAAACAGTGCTTCAGTTTTCTAACAAATCGTTTAATCATCATTTCAAATGTTGAAAAAAAAATTTCCTTCATTACCAGAAGTGTCATGATTTTTTTCTTTTATCTTTCCGTGAGCATTTTGTACAATTGGT